ATGAGAACTGGAGTAGATCCTCAGCCTGGGGTCCATTGTGAGCTGCTGTGCTGTGATGGAGCTCCATCCATATGAGCATTGCAGCTACAGCTCTCTTGCGTGCACTGTAGACATGCCAGGAGCCAGCATGTGACATCACTCTGGTCCAGGCACCTCTTTTGGACACGTGAGGGAGCTGTAAGCAATGCACGTATGAATGGAGCTCCCCTGCGGCCATCCCCCCATCCCACCCCACCTCAAGCTGACACTCGGCACTAGGCTTGGTGTGAGAACTGACAGTGCTGTGCTAGGGGGAGGGGGAGGAGCCTCTCACCTAGAAAAGTGGAAGGCATGTGGTGACCAGCTGAACGCAGGGTCGCGACCCACTTTTGCGTCACAACCCACCAGTTGAAAACAAAAGCTTTAGATGACTTTAAAATGCTAAAGTGTAGTGTTTAAAAGAAACTCTCAGCATAAATAAACATTTTGAAGGTGCATGCTCCATGGCTGTCCTCCATATTCTTCACTCATCCCATGTTGGGTCACTGACCTGCAGCAAGCATGTGTGTATTAGATGTTAGGACATCGGTTATGCATCAGCTTGCTCTGAATCAGTGACTTACAAAGTAATGAAGCAAAGATAAGCAGAACAATTCTACGACTATGCAGCCTCAGAAGCAAGTCAGCAACAGCAGTTCCTATATTTCTATCTTGACAGATTGCCTTTACCTATTATTTATATTTTAGAACTGATTCCCCAACCATTTGTATGGCAGCCACATGTAACTGTACTCCAGTGATGCCACTTGCTACACCCTATCAGCAGGTACTCATCTTACACTCCTCATGTCACAACACCTGCTTCTGCATTATAGAGTGCTTGTAACTCAGAAGCAAATTGTAGCGTATCTATTTTATATATACTGTCATGCAAGTTGTTGATAAAGGCAGGATTTACATACTGTGTTCATAATCGCTTGTTATATATCAAGTTATGGTTTACTGGAAAAACTTAAGTGGGTCTCTGGCACAGAATAAAATTATACAGTCTTTCCTTACTTATTACTGATTTATGAAGCCAAGTTAATTTCCACAGCTCTGCATTCTAGCAAACCTGTATTTTGTCAATTCAGGGAGCCTGAATTGGCTTTCAATCCCCTTCTGTCCTGTTAGACAGGCGGAGCCCCCCAAATGTGCCGTGTAAGCCCCCATCATACATTGGGTCAGAGCTTACACAGGGCTTAGGATCCTCCATCTGTCCTCCTGTGTTTTTTTTCTTGTGAGTGAATGGAGCAGCATATGGAAGATACCCAGTGAATGTGTTCCATTGCCCTGAATAAGCAAAATACAGGTTTGTTTTAAAGCAAAAGTAAAGCTTTTCCGTGAAAAAAATTGCTTGTTAGTAGACTTTCTATGGCAAAAGAGACTGCGTAAGTCTTTTCTACCATACACGCTTATTTTATTACCTGCCAGCATTTTTTTTTCTGTATGTTGAGCCACGCATGTGCAGCTCAGCACAAAGACTTGGCATGCCAAGATCAAGTATCCCCCATGCGCATGCACAGAAGATACACCATGCCTGCCAGCCAATCAAGAGGCTGAGGAAGCCAAATTCAGAAGAAGACCAGGGAGATGATGGCAGTGCCAGCGAGGAAGGAGCACAGCTCCGGAGGGGGTCACTTTGGCAGGTAAGTCTGCCATAATGTGCTAATATGCCGTGTATGCTAGCACGTTATGGTTGAAATCTCCAGGGGGCCTTTTTTTGTTACACGTGCCTTTACTTTAGCTTTAAAGCCCAACTCCACCCTCAATTTCTTTAGTTGTTTAATAAGTAGAAGAGATAGAACCTCTGTAAGTACCCACTTGCCCCCCCCCACTTTCTGTCCTGTGGACAGGAAGTTCATTAGAAGGTCTGATGGGGGTTTTATTACTGTCTGTGCCTCCTTGTCCCAGTGACCCCCTATTTTCCTCACTTTACTGCAGATCAATACTGCTAAGAGGTAAAAAAAAAAAAATTACAAGCAGGTGGGCTCCTTATTGCAGAAGAGATATGCTATGTCTCTTGTGCAATAAAACAAATATACCTACCTGTTCCCAATCTTCTTTTGAAGCAGTGTACATTCTCAGCATACCTCGCACATGCGCATGCGAGTCATGTCATTCTGCCCCAGCCAATCAAAATAGCTAAAGATCCCGAACCCAGAAGAAGACCACGCGAGGATGTTGGGGCTGGTAAGAGAGTGATGGGAATTGAGTATAGTTTCACTTTACATTCTGGTGTCACAGGGGATAAAATGTAAGGAGACATCTCCCCTCTTGGTGCCACAGACAGCAATAAAGACCTGTCAGAAGCTTTAACATTTACACAGGGGTATAACAAAACAATCAGACCTCACCTTTCTTCCCCACATCCAATCACTATCCAAATCTTGCCGCCTTCACCTTCATAACATCTCTAAAATACGTCCCTTCCTCACCAATGAAACCGCAAAATTACTCACCCACTCACTTGTTATCTCTCGTCTTGAGTATTGCAACTCCCTCCTCATTGGCCTACCTCTACACAAGCTCCTCCCCTTTAGTCTATCATGAATGCAGCTGCTAGACTCATTCACCTGACCAACCGCTCAGTGTCTGCAACCCCTCTCTGCCAATCTCTACACTGGCTTCCAATAGCCCAAAGGATAAAATTCAAAATATTAACAATCACTTACAGAGCCATCCACAACTCTGCCCCCGCCTATATCTCCAACCTTGTCTCAAAATATCACCCTAACCGTCTCCTACGCTCTTCCAAAGACCTCCTGCTTTTCAGCTCCCTCATCAACTCCTCCCATGCTCGCCTCCAGGACTTCTCTAGAGTCTCTCCCATCCTATGGAACTCTCTACCCTAACCTGTCCGTCTATCTCCCACTCTGACTGCCTATAGGCGATCCCTTAAGACTCATCTCTTCAGGGAAGCCTATCCGACCTCAACCTAGCCACTGAAATATCACTTTCTCAAACAATTCATCACCACACAGCTACCTCCTCATGTATCACTTGTCCCTCGCTTTTAGATTGTAAGACCTCACGGGCAGGGCCCTCCTTACCATCTTGTCTTGAATTGTATTGTGATTGTAATGCCTTCCTTATATTGTAAAGCGATGCGCAAACTGTTGGCGCTATATAAACCCTGTATAATAATAATAATAAAGCCAGTCATACACAGATAGATCCCTCTTGGTTAGCCTGACAGCCACAGCACCAGCAGCCATCTGGATACCTGAACAGTGGCTGCATCTGATCAGATGCAGTCACCAAACAGTGAACAACTTTCCACCTTCGATTTTTGCCCCCATCCACACTTGCAACACGCGACATCAGGTGTCACATTTGTGCACATTTTTGTGCATTTGTAATGTGTCTGGCAGCCTATACATTTCAATGGGCTTCCCTAAATGTGATAAATGTGGCAAAGAAGCTTATGCACCTTTTTGAGCTTCAAGCTTTTTTTTAACTGCATAGTTTCTATGCATTTGTCACGTCTTTGCATGTGCAAAATGCGCGTCTTGCTTGGCACACTTGGTACCATTAACAATAAATGATGAGACGTTTTTCACACATTAGGTGAGCGTATAACAAATTGCACGTTTTCACACACTTTCATGTGCTGCACTAGTGTAAATGCAGACTTTCCATTGAAGTTTGTCGCGTACAACTTGCATAACATATATAAATACATAAAAAGATAGGAAAGAGCTCTGCCCAAAAGAGCTTACAGTCTTTTTAGTTCAGTAGATGTTAAAATGATTATTGATGGTCAGTAACAGTACTTAGCAGAAACATGCACAAGTAAGCAGTGAGAATTAGTGTTACACATCGTAGTAAATGGTAAGGAAGGATCTCATCTCTGCCACTTCTTGAAACCATGTGACCTGTCATGTGAATTGTAGATTTGATAGATGAATGAATTGCACTTTATTCCATCTCTTGCTCTGAATGATGTGCACTTCTTTTGGGTTAGTCATTGGTCAATCAGGAGCCACTGGAGTGTCTCTCACCTCTCTGGGAGGTGTTACCTATTTATAAGTTACAGCCCTATGGCCAATTACAACTGTGTTCTGGTTATGGTGGGCAACATCCACTAATGGCTAATTTCAGCTACATGCAGGTTATGATGAGCACCATCCACAAATGGCCAATTCCAGCTGTGTGCAGAATATGGTGGGCACCATACACAAATGGACAATTCCAGCTGTGTATAGGTTATGGTGGGCATTATTCACAAATGGCCAATTCTAGCTGTGCGCAGGTTACAGTGGGCACCATCCACTAATGGCCACTTACAACTGTGGGCAGGTTATGGCGAGCACCATACACTAATGCCCATTACAGCTGTGCAGGTTACAGTAGGCACAATCCACAAATGGCCAATTACAGCTGTGTGCATGTTAAGGAGGGCACCACCTACTAAAGGCCAATTACAGATGTGCGCAGGTTATGATGGGCACCATCTACTAATGACCAATTACAGCTATGGACAAGTTATAGTGGGCACCATCCACTAATGACCAATTACAGCTGCAGGCAAGTTATGGCGGGCACCATCCACTGATGACTAATCCAAGCTGCGGGATGGTACCCATCCACAAATGGCCAATCCCAGCTGTGTGCAGAGAATGCTGGGCACCATGCAGTATTGGTCAGTTACAGCTGTGTGTAGGTCATGGTGGGCACCATGAAGTAATGGCCAATTCCATCTGTGGGCACCAATTCCAGCAGATGTTGTAGCATTGGATGTTGCACGTGTTATGCCCCCTGATTGTGCCTCCTATACATTGCACTGGCTGTAAGCTTACATATACACACAGAAACATTTGCTGGAGCTCGTCCGTCCTCCCAGTGTAAGTTGTTGGCACTGACGTCCATTCATTTCAAGAACGTGGCCCAGATCAGAACATGGGATTTAACCCTTGCCATGCAGGCCGGCAGCAGTTACAGGCTGTTAGTCCCATGCTGTCAGTGACTTGATGCATTACCTTGCTTGGGATGAAGCCGGTATTCCAAGGACCGAGTGTGCAGAAAGCAAAGATGACAGATCAGCCCCGCCAACCAGTTTGCAACCAGCATGTTCTCCCCCGGACAGAAGAGAAAACCAGGGCTCCCTGCTTCGCTCTCCCCCCCAACCTGCGCCCCTCCAATCCCCGGGGAGCCCTCACAGCTGCTCCCGCTTCAGCAGCCGGCCGTGTGTGCGGAGTGCCTGCCTCTCCTCTCGTGCCACACTCTGTGCATCGCTCCTCCGCTGTGCCAATGTCCTGCTCGGAGCCGTACTATGTCAGGGCACAGCGCTCCCAGTACATGTGTGTCAGCCCCGAGCGCCCTCACCCTAAGGAGAGAGCCGAACTTCGGTGCCAGCAACTCTGCTCCTCTCTCTGACCAGCCCAGGACCCGACATCAAAGGAGAGCCCGCCTTCTGGGCGAGCCCCTGACAAATGCACAGCAGACCCCCTTCTTGCTGGAAGAGAGCCTATCTACTGTGCATGCACAGCTCCCAACTCCTCCAAGTGCAGCTGGAGCTCTGTAGAAGACGGCTGGTGGAGAGAGCCCATTGCTGGGGACACAACCTCTAATACAGGGACCCCACTAACCGAGAGATCCCACTGCTAGAGAGACAACCTCTAATACAGGGACCCCACCAACCGAGAGATACTACTGCTAGCGAGACATAACCTCTAATACAGGGACCCCACCAACCGAGAGAGCCCACTGCTAGGGACACAACCTCTAATACAGGGACTCCACTAACCGAGAGAGCTCACTGCTAGGGAGACACAACCTCTAATACAGGGACCCCACTAACCGAGAGATCCCACTGCTAGAGAGACAGCCTCTAATGCAGGGACCCCACCAACCGAGAGAGCCCACTGCTAGGGGCACAACATCTAATAGAGGGACCCCACTAACCGAGAGATCCCACTGCTAGAGAGACAACCTCTAATGCAGGGACCCCACCAACCGAGAGAGCCCACTGCTAGGGGCACAACATCTAATAGAGGGACCCCACTAACCGAGAGATCCCACTGCTAGAGAGACAACCTCTAATACAGGGACTCGTCACTCCACTAACCGAGAGACACCACTGCTAGAGAGACACAACCTCTAATACAGGGACTCCACTAACCGATAGATACTCCTGCTAGCGAGACACAACCTCTAATACAGGGGCCCCACCAACCGAGAGAGCCCACTGCTAGGGACACAACCTCTAATACAGGGACTCGTCACTCCACTAACCGAGAGAGCCCACTGCTAGGGACCCACCTCTAATACAGGGACTCGTCACTCCACTAACCGAGAGAGCCCACTGCTAGGGACCCACCTCTAATACAGGGACTCGTCACTCCACTAACCGAGAGAGCCCACTGCTAGGGACCCACCTCTAATACAGGGACTCGTCACTCCACTAACCGAGAGAGCCCACTGCTAGGGACCCACCTCTAATACAGGGACTCGTCACTCCACTAACCGAGAGAGAGCACTGCTAGAGAGACAACCTTTAATGCAGGGACCCCACTAACCGAGAGATACCACTGCTAGAGAGACAACCTTTAATGCAGGGACCCCACTAACCGAGAGATCCCACTGCTAGGGACACAACCTCTAATACAGGGACCCCACTAACCAAGAGATACCACTGCTAGAGAGACACAACCTCTACTACAGGCACCCCACTAACCGAGAGATACCACTGCTAGGGACACAACCTCTAATACAGGGACCCCACTAACCGAGAGAGCCCACTGCTAGAGACACAACCTCTAATACAGGGACCCCACTAACCGAGAGAGCTTACTGCTAGAGAGACAACCTCTAATACAGGGACCCCACCAACCAAGAGAGCCCACTGCTAGGGACACAACCTCTAATACAGGCACCCCACTAACCGAGAGATACCACTGCTAGAGAGACAACCTTTAATGCAGGGACCCCACTAACCGAGAGATCCCACTGCTAGGGACACAACCTCTAATACCAGACCCCACTAACCAAGAGATACCACTGCTAGAGAGATACAACCTCTACTACAGGGACCCCACTAACCGAGAGATACCACTGCTAGAGAGACACAACCTCTAATATAGGGACCCCACTAACCGAGAGATCCCACTGCTAGGGACACAACCTCTAATACAGGGACCCCACTAACCGAGAGAGCCCACTGCTAGAGACACAACCTCTAATACAGGGACCCCACTAACCGAGAGAGCTTACTGCTAGAGAGACACAACCTCTAATAAAGGGACCCCACTAACCGAGAGAGCCCACTGCTAGAGAGACACAACCTCTACTACAGGGACCCCACTAACCGAGAGATCCCACTGCTAGAGAGACACAACCTCTACTACAGAGACCCCACTAACCGAGAGAGTCCACTGCTAGGGACACAACCTCTAATACAGGGACCCCACTATCCGAGAGAGCCCAGTGCTAAGGACACAACCTCTAATACAGGGACCCCCACTAACCGAGAGAGCTCACTGCTAGAGAGACACAACCTCTACTACAGGGACCCCACTAACCGAGAGATCCCGCTGCTAGAGAGACAACCTCTTCTACAGGCACTCCACTAACTGAGAGAGCCCACTGCTAGAGAGACACAACCTCTACTACAGGGACCCCACTAACCAAGAGATCCCACTGCTAGGGACACAACCTCTAATACAGGGACACCACTAACCGAGAGATCGCACTGCTAGTGACACAACCTCTAACACAGAGACCTCAATAACCGAGAGAGCCCACTGCTAGAGAGACACAACCTCTAATACAGAGACCCCACTAACCGAGAGAGCCCACTGCTAGAGAGACACAACCTCTACTACAGAGACCACACTAACCGAGAGAGCCCACTGCTAGAGAGACACAACCTCTACTACAGAGACCCCCACTAACCGAGAGATCCCACTACAAGAGAGACAAAACCTCTACTACAGGGACCCCACTAACCGAGAGATCCCGCTGCTAGAGAGACACAATCTCTACTACAGAGACCCCACTTACCGAGAGATCCCACTGCTAGAGAGACACAACCTCTAATATAGGGACCCCACTAACCGAGAGAGCCCACTGCTATAGAGACACAACCTCTACTACAGGGACCCCACTTACTGAGAGAACCCACTCATAGAGAGGTCCCACTGCTAGAGAGAACAAATTCTACTACAAAGACTCCAATAACTGTAACCTTCCAATGGTGGTGGTGCTCTGCTGATCACACGGATGGCGCCGTGCAAAGCTCAGAATAGTCTCAACAGGTCACCGCCACACACACAGATGAATTCAATATCTCTTGGATATGTTTATTAAAGAATGTCACAACATGTCATTAGAAGCTGAAGCTAGCGTTTCGGGACCTCACAGGGACTACGGTCACTATGTCGCTCTAATGAAGGGTCCCTGCTAGGTCCCGAAACGCTAGCTTCAGCTTCTAATGACATGTCGTGACATTCTTTAATAAACATATCCAAGAGATATTGAATTAATCTGTGTGTGTGCCGGTGACCTGTTGAGACCACTCATAAGGAGAGTCCACTCAGAGATTTTACTGCTGGAGAGACCCCACTGCTAAAGAGGGCCTGCAACTAGAGAGATCCTACTAGTAGAGATCTCCCTGCTAGAGAGATCGAACTGCTAGAAAAATCCCACTACTTGAGAGACCCCATCAATTGAGAGAGTCTGCTCATAAAGACATAATTAGTAGAGAGATCCTGCTACTAGAGATCTCATTGCAAGAGCGACCCCACTGCCACAGAGATCGTACAGCTGGAGAGGTCACAGTACTAGAGAGATCACATTAATTAAGAGAACCCAGTCACAGAGAAATCCTGCTTGGGAGATCCGACTACTAGGGATATCACTGAGACTATGGATATCACTATAGAGACCCCACTGCTAGAGAGCCCCCCACAGGTAGAAAGATCCCAGTGCTATAGAAATCCGACTGCTAGGAAGAGCCTACAGATAGAGAGAGCCCACAGCTAGAGAGGTCCCATTGCTAGAGAGCACCCAGAACTAGAGAGATCCCACTACTAGAGAGACCCCACTAGTGGAAAGATACCACTACTAGAGAGATGCCACAGATAGAAAGATTGCACAGTTAGACAGATCACACTGTTAGAGACACCCACCCTCTACTAGAGAGAATCCACTAATTGAGAGAGCCCATTCATTGAGATATCCCACTGCTAGAGAGGTCCCATTGCTAGAGAGCACCCAGAACTAGAGAGATCCCACTACTAGAGAGACCCCACTAGTGGAAAGATACCACTACTCGACATTCTACTGCTAGAGAGAACCCACTACTAGAGAAGTCCCACTAATAAAGATTCCACTACGATAAATAACCCACTGCTAGAGAGATCCCAATACTAGAAATTCCACTGCTAGTGATAGCCCACTACTTGGCGGAGGAGGGGAGCAATGTAATGGTAAGTATGTCCTGCTGGGGAGGGGGAGTTAAAGCAAACTTGTTGCTTTGCCCTATACGATCAAAGCACAGTTTTGCTTTCAAGCTTATCAGGTTGTAAAAAAGGTGCCAAAATTTGAACACTAGGCAGCTATTAAAGACACAGATTACTGGAACTCTGTATTAATACATAAATAATGTTTTGTTTTTTTAAATGCAAGCAGTGTAACAACTTATGACCTGGTATTAGCCTCTTGCAGTTCCTGAGTTCCTGTATAGAAGAGATAGAGTGTGAGATGGAAAATACAGAGCAGTCTCCAGTAGCTGTCCATCTACTGGCTTGGGGAAGGGAAGAAGGTAAAAGGAGGAGGGGGAGAGGGGAGCAGAGATGTGGCTTGCCTTGCTGTGCCTGCGTGATTGTGGCCGATCTTACTAGCACGCACAAGGGTGGCTTCATAGGATCTACCCTAAAACAGGATATCAGGACTAGTGCACAGGGGACCAGCTGATTCTGCAAGAAACTACAACTTTTAAATTTCAAGGCGCAGAATCCATTGTAAGTGGTTTAGTCAGTATTTTAAATAGCTTAAAAGCTTTTGACTTTAATATCACTTTAAACATTTTTAAGTGTGGTGACTCTTTGTCCAGTTAATAGGCTGGGGCAGTACAGTTATTTAGGAAGCTACAGAGCTGCATGCTGTAATTGTAATGTTAACTTACCCCAGCCAGCCAACCATGACCTAGTTTCATAGTATGGCAGAGGTGTATGAATCACCAGAACCATATTACCAAGTTACAG